GCAGAGCCCTGAGGCTGGCACTGCTTGTGCTGGGGGGGCTGGGCTGGGGGGGGACAGGCAGAGCCTGGAGCAGGTACGGGCAGATGACGTTTCCAAGCTAATTTCTGTGAAATTATGAGGTAGGAAGCTGTTTTCAGGAAGTTTTTGTCTGTTTGGTTTGGTTTTTTTCTTTTGGTTTGTTTTTTTTTTAATTCTTAAAAAATTAAAATCAATGTCTTGGCTGGGATTTCCCTCCACTCCGTCACCCCCACACCCAGACGAGGATGTAGGACATGGGAGCCAAGTTGGCCTTTGTCCCTTGGTCCCTGAGGGTCCCCTCTCTGTGGTGGGAGTGGGCAGCAGCATTCCGTGTTGTTTCCATGCGAGGAGGAGGAGGCAGCACCCTGTTTGATGCCTGACCGCATGCCCGGGCTTGCTGAGCCTCCGCCCCACACCTGGGCTCCACCCAGCTCCATGGGGGCCTGCCCTGGTTCCCTGTGCTCCTGCATGTCCTGGCACCCTTGTCCCTGCCCACCCCTGTCCCAGCTCTCTGCTGGTGCTTCCCCTCACCTGTGTCTGGTTGTGGTGGGTGTCTCAAGGGTTCTGTCTCATCCCCCCTGCCATGGGTTCCTGCTCCTCAGCCAGGTGCCCCGTCTCTCAGATCCCCTGGGCTCCTCCCTGACATAGTCTTGGAGTTTCCCCCTAAGTGTTTCATTCCCCATTTGCATCACCCACTCTGAGCATCCCAAGTTTGAGGTGAGGATGGACAAGGGCGGCTCAGCCACCCATGTGCCATCAGCAAACAGCCACAGTTCGGGGCTTTTTGTCCCAAATTTGGTACCTGTGGCCCCAAGCTCTGTTGGGAAGGGACCCTCCTGGCAGGCAGGAGTTGTTTCTCCCCTCTCCTTTTCCTGCTCCCTGGTTTTTTGCAGCACTTTGGAAACTCTTTGTTGTGGGTGAGGGCTGTGCCCGCTATGCCGGGAGCCGGTCTGTGGCTGGGCAGAGCGGGTGGCCCCACAGCCCCCGGGCCACCAGTCCTATCCCAAAACCAGCCTGGCCTTAGGCACAGCTTTTCCAGCAGCTTCCCAACCGGGAGAGCTCCAAAAGCCACCACCATCAGAGCGGGCCCAGCCCAATCCAGAGCTGCCTCTGGTGCTGGGAGGGACTGGTGCCAGCACTGCCATCCCCACTGGTGCTGGGGACAGTTTGGTGTCTGCTTGGGACAGGGCCAGCAGCACAACGCCGGAGGGTTTGTTTCTCCGGTGGTGACTGAGCTGTGGCCACGGGATGACACAGGGATCATGGGGATTGCAGGAGCCACAGGGAGCCTCTCCCGGGCCAGGTGTTGGAGCCCCAGGTGACAGCGGGGTTCGGGCAGCTCCCCACTCCTGGAGGATCAGCCCTGGCCCTCCCTGCCCCGCAGGGACACTGCGAAGGTGTCGGGGCTTGTCCGGGGCGGTGGAGGCGAACTCCAGCCTGGAATTGCCTCGCTGAGGGGCTGCACCAGCCAGGGGCCTGAGAGGGGAGGTCGTGGAGGCTGAGGGGAGCACAGGAACCTCCTGACACCCCCGGGCTGGGAATGGGCCACACGTGGCAGCAGTGGCACCTCCTGCCCTGCACTGGGCTTTGCCGAGGGGCTCCCTCCTGGCATCCCTTGCTGAGTGTGGGGTGTGGTGGGGGGCCTGGGTTAGTGGTGGTAAGAGAGCTAAGTGGTGACCCCCCCCAAACTGGTTTGGCCCGTTTCAAACGCTCCCTCTCAGCTTATCTGGCTTCAAAGGGCTCCTGCTCCATCCCACGCACACAAACACGCTCCCTGCGAACCAGGGGCAGCCCCCTGCATCCCAAAAAATGTGTGTGCCCCCCAAGCACAGCCTCTCCTCCAATCTCTCCTTCTCGGACCCCCAAACCTTCCCTGCTGCACCCATGGGCGCCCCGAGCTGGGTGTTCAGGGGGATGTGGTGGGAAGGACACGTTGGATCATGGCCACGGTGGCGGTGGGGATCCCTGGGGACTTTGGGGCATCATGAAGTCGACCGAGACGTGGCTCCGCTGTGGAGGCTGGCCACCCCCCTTCCCGGCCTCCAGCCTCCCCCGGACTCCTGGCCGTGCTGAAGATTTTGTGGAGCCCCTGTGAGCCCCGAGATCCCAGCCTTGGCGGGGAGGCGAGCGGGTTCCATGCAAAACCCGGGCGAGGAGACTGGTTGGGCGAGGTGCGGGGCGGGCCCGTGCGCCCCACGCCCGCCGCAGACGCCGGCGCCCACCCGCACCCCGCAGCACCCAGGGGTGCACCTGCCCGCCCGAGGATGCTGCAGGACAGCGGCCCTCCGGGGCCACCCAGCCAGGTACGTGCCGGACACTCCCGCGGACATCGCCGCCGCTGTCCCCACCGCGGCTCCCTGGGGAGAGCCGTGTGTCACTCGCCCTGCCACGCACCCTGTCCCCATCCACTGGCCAGGGTGGTGCCGCGGGTCTGGGGCTCCGGCATGTGGGTCTGGTGGCTGCCCAACACCGACCAGGAGGCTTTTCTCTCCCTCCCACCCTCTCTCGCTGTGCCTCGGTGTCCCCAGCGTGGCTCCTGGCACGTGCGCGCGGTGGCCAGGCTGCGTGGAGCCACTCCCTGCCCCAACACCGATGGCCCCGGCGGGCACGGCCAGCCCTGGGGACGCGGACGTGGGGACGGCCACTCGGGGCTGCTCGGGGGGTGGGAGAGGATGCGGCGCTCCCAGGAGCCGGGGCTCTCCGGGAATGTGGCGCTGTCACGCCGCGAGGAAGTGACAGAGGTGCCCCCAGGCCGGGGGGTGGTCAGCGGCTGCTTTAGGGATCCCAGATTTGGTTTATTTAACTCTGTGTCATTCCAGCTGTGGTCGGATCCCCTCGGGAATCCCTCAAAATCTTACTTCAAATGTTTTCTTTGTGCTGATCAGCTGATTTTTTTAAGCCCCCTGGTGTATCCCCCTCCTATCCTTCCCCAACTATTGAGCTGCTTGATGAGGCCAGCGCTGCCCATTCCAGCTCCAAGCATTCCTTGAGTCCCCCGGGACCCCCACATTTCCATTTGTCAGCTGCAGGGCGGTGTTATGCTGGGGGAATGGGCGTTCGGGAGCGACGCTGGGGGAAGGTGGGATTGCCAGTAGGCTTAGGGGTGTCCCCGGAGCCCCTCTGTCCCCTGGGGCTGGGGGACCTCCCGGGATGGCCCCGATCCCCCGGGATCCTGGCACGGGGACGGCGGGCAAGTGTTGGCTTGCAGAGGGAGCGATCCACCCCCTCCGCCCGCTGCGGGGGGAACCCGTGATTCATCGGGGCTCGGAGCGCTGGGAGCGCCCGCCGAGCTCTGCCAAACTCGGTGCGCCCTGGGGTGGTGCCGCGGAGGGAGGAGGGGGGGCTTTCCTGGGTGCTGTACCCCAAAAAGGCTCAGGGGTGGCCCCTGGGCAAAAGGGGGCTCCTCCAAACCCCAGAGCTGGGGCGGTGGGTTACACCTCCCTGTTGGTCCTCGGCGCATCGGGATGGTGCCGCCAAGGGGGGTTTGGGGGGGCCATCAGGGGACTGTCACCCCAAACTGCTGGCCCGCAAGCTGTTGCCACCCCGCCCCTGCCCCGGCTCCTGCTGACGGCGGCACATTCCTCGGGGACAGCCGCCCTTTTCACCCCCGACCGAAGCGCACACGGTGTCACCGCCGGGTGTTGTAAACCCGGCCCAGCCCGGAACGCCGCTGTCGCTGCCGGAGCGGTGACGCCAAGCGCTGAGCCAGGGCTGGCCACAGAGCCCGCGTGGCCACGCTCACCCCAAAGCACCTGGCCGGTGACACCGGAGCCACCGTGTCCCCGAGCGGGGGCTGAGAACGGCCGCAGCTCTCGGTCAGCGGGCCGGAGCTGCGGGCCAGCGGCGTGGCCCGGCAGCGGGGGGATTTGGGGAGCTGATCCCGAGCACAGCCGGCCGGGGGGGATGTGGTGTCCCCGGTCGGGCTGGGATGGGGCGGCTCGGCAGGTGGGGCGAGGCTAATTAGTACCTGTGGTGGCAGCGGGGCCTGAGTCACCGCGTTCGTCACCGCGGGCCCGCGGCGCTCAGCCGCCCCTTTTTTATTATTGTTTTTTCATTCCCCGGCTGATTTGAAAAGCAAAGCAGGGAGAGCCTAGCCAGGAATTACAGCACGGAGCCCCCACTCCAGACAGGACCCCGGTGCCAGATGGGGGTCCAGAGTGCTCCTGGAAAGTGGCTTGAGCGATCTGGGGGTCCCTGTGGAGGCGGCCTGGGGCTTTGTGGTCAGGGCTGGTTGAGGAGTCTCCCCGGTGGTCTGGGACACCCCTGGGAGCCCATGTGGGGGTCTGGAGCTCACTGGAGTGACAATCTGGGGGTCCAGAGCTGTGCAGAGACGTCATATGGGCATCCAGAGCACTATCCTCAGAGGTTTCCTGGGGGTCTTGAGCTCATTGGAGGGACATTGTAGGGGCCTGGGGCTCAGTGGCAGGGCCATGTGGGTCTCTGGAGATCAACGGGAAGGTTCTCCAGGGGCCTGGGGCTCTCCGAGGAGACCACATGAGACTCGAGGGCTCACTGGAGGAACAATGTGGGTGTCCAAGGTTCAATGGCAGGGATCCACGGGGAGGCTTTTGGAGGGTCCGGGGGCTCTTCCGGGAGGTTGCCTGGGGGTCTTTGGCTCATTGATGGGGCAGCGTGGGGGGTCTGGGGCTTACTGGTGTGGCTGCCCAGGAGTCAGGGGGTGACTGTCTGAGGTGGTCCCGGCTTTTCCCAAGGTAGGACCCCCAGACCCCTGGACCACCCTTCTCCCTCGTCCCCGCGAGGTCGCCCCTGGGCACCTCCACCTGTGGCGGTGACGATGGTGATGGTGTCAATGGTGACAGTAGCCCCGGTGGGGCCCCCTCCTTTTCCCGGCGAGGCGTGGCGGCGGGGCGGGACGGACGGGCCGGGACGGAGCCTCCCTACGGCTGGGGAACGCCGGAACGCCGCCACTGCCGCCGCTCACCTGCGCAGGGCGGCCGGGCTGGCCGCGGCCCCTCGCCGCCATGCAGGAGACTAACGCCTTCCTGCTGTCGGCCCTGCAGCCCGAGGCCGGTGTCTGCTCCCTGGCCTTGCCCTCGGACCGGCAGCTGGACGAGCGTGGCCGGGAGGCGGCCGAGGCCCAGCGGCTGCGCAGCGCCCGTGTCCAGGAGCAGGTCCGCATCCGCATGATGCTGCGGGGGCAAGCGCCCGCCCGCCCCGAGGAGCTCGCCGACGGCACCAGAGGTGGGAGACCCCCCCCAGGGACCCCCTGGGAACAGGCGATGGGAGGGGTGGTGGGAGCACCTCGGCCGGCACTAGGCTCTGGGCGCACCCTGGCTGTGGGTTGGGGTGTGCCCCCCACCCTGACCGAGTCCCCCGAACGCCCCCGAGCATCCCCAGCACTGGGACCAGGGGTAGCTCAGCCCCAGCGCGGGCTCGTTTCGCCCCGCTCGGGGTCCTGCCTCAGTTTCCCCGTCTGCCCTTGGAGGGTTTTGCTCTGGTGGGGTCCCACAGCCTGAATTGGGCTGGCAGGGGGGGAGGATTTTCCCGCTCTGGCAGAGCCCCCCCAGCCCTGAGCGGCGGCGCTGGCCGGGCTCCAGCTCCTCCATTTAACGTCTGCTCCGGCTGCCTCCGCCCTGCCGCCCCGCCCGGCACCGCCGGGATCCCCCGAGCCCCGATCCCCGTGCCGGGGACCCCAGAGGAGGGGACAGACCCCCTGTGACACCCCGAGGGCTGCCCCAGGCGTGAGTCACGTCCTGGCACCACCAGCGCTGGCGGCGTCCCTGTCCCGTCCTTGTGCCGCCCCGCCGGCGGCCCCGGGGCGGTGGCAGGGCGGATGGGGCAGCGTGAGGTGCCATGGGGGGCGGTGGGGTGTCCAGCTCCCTGCCAAGGTCCCGTTCCCAGGACGGAGGAGCAGGGACCGGCTGCGGAGGATGCCTGGGCTGCTGATCCAGCTGCGGCAGGGGGGACCGGGCTGAGCCGCGGCGTCCCCGCCAAGGTGGCAATTAGTGCCCTCGCCGTCGGGGCACGGGGCAGGGCGGGGAGGGAGGCCACTTCTGCTCCCCGTGGCCAGCGGGCAGGTGAAGGCGGCCTCCTCCCACTCCTGTCCCCCCAGCTCTGCTTGCGCCGCCATGGTTCCCGCAGCAGGTCCCTCTGGGATGAGCCAGGGCGATCTTTGATCTCCAGATCCCTTCGTGCCCTGCCCGTGCTTACACTGCCTCCTCTGTGGCTGTCCTGCAGGTGGTCACTACAGCTCGACCCTGCGCTCCTCCTTCAGCTCCCGCTCCCAGAGCAATGGTGTGGACGCCAAAGCCTCGGTACGTTCCGGGGCTCTATCCCCTGCCCACCGCCTCGGCTGTGCCGAGGAGAGCTCTGCGCTCCCCTGCTGGGGCAGGAGGGACGGACTCTCAACCTCCCATTTCCCTCGCTGCAGCTGTACCAGCCGCTGGCCAAGAAGGATTTTGGCACGCTGCGGGGCAGCGGCTGGTCCTCGCGCTCCGCCGTGGACCTCACCCCGCACAAGCGCATGGCCACCATCAGCAACGGGGGCCTGGCCAAGGGCCGCGCCTACGCCGCCGGCTACGCGGCCTCGCAGGTGGCCACCGCCTCGCCGCGGCCTAGCTCCTTCCACGAGCGCAACTTCCGCTGCCGGCAGAACCTGGACACGCTGTCGCTGCGCTCCCTGCGCCTGGCCGACGGGCACCTCCCGCTCGCCGATGACCGCTACAGCGTCCTGTCGGAGCAGCTGGACGCGCCGGGGCACCGGCAGCTCTACAAGAGCCAGGCTGGCGGCGGATTCGGCCGCTCCTTCACCTTCGAGCGGCAGCTGAGCTCCGGCACGGCCGGCAAGGCTGGCTGCGACTGGCTGGACGGTGCCGAGGGGCCGCCGAGCCGCACCATCCGTGCGCCCGCCATGCGCACGCTGCAGCGCTTCCAGAGCAACAACCGCTCGCGGCTGAGCACCGGCTCCTTCGGCACGGTGCCGGCCGCAGGCAGCGGCGCCTTCCTGGGGCTGGGGGAGCACAGCTCCCGCGCCCCCTCCGTGCGCAGCCTGGCCGAGTCCGGCCATCACCTTGCGGAGCCGCGCGCCATGGAGATGTACAATGGGCACAGCACGCTGCTCGGACACCACGCCGGCGGGTGAGGGCCGCGGGCTGCTCCGGGGTGTCTTGGTCCTTGTCCCCACTGTGGTCACCTGCTGGGTGAGGGTGAAGCACTCCAGCTCCCACTGGGCACAAAGGATGTTGGGAAGAGGGGTGGGATGATGGGTGCAACTTGGTCCTGTGGTGATGGATCACAGCATAGGCTGATCTCTGGTGTGTCCTGCCTCTGACCCTGGCTTCTCCATTGGCACATCCTGAGACATGGCAGGAGGGTGATGCTTATCCCGCTGGGAATGGAGTCACCTGCCCAGAGCTCTGTGGGAAGGAGATGGGTTGGTGGGGCTCCTTGGAGATGGGGGACATAGTGGGGCGCTCCACCGGGACTCACCTGGCTGCGGTTCCAGGTTTGATGACATCGACCTGCCCTCAGCAGTGAAGTACCTGATCGCCAGCGACCCCAACCTGCAGGTGCTGGGCGCTGCCTACCTGCAGCACAAGTGCTACAGTGACAGCAGTGCCAAGAAGCAGGTGAGCCCTCGGAAAGGTGGGAGAAGAGGTTTTCCCAGCAGGAGCAGGGGGTTTCCCAGCCCCTCTGACACCGCAGGGGCCGGAGGGAGCCCTGGGAGCACAGCATGTCTGACCCCCCCGGGCTCTCCCCCAGGCCCGCAGCCTGCAGGCCATGCCCAAGCTGGTGAAGCTGTTCAACAGCCCGAACCAGGAGGTGCAGCGCCACGCCACCGGCGCCATGCGCAACCTCATCTACGACAACGCCGAGAACAAGCTGGCTCTGGTAGAGGAGAATGGCATCTACGAGCTCATGCGCACCCTGCGGGAGCCCGACGACGAGCTCCGCAAGAACGTCACAGGTTGGGGACAGCAGCAGGGTGGGCGGAGGTCCCCCTCCCCTGGGGGTGGCACTCTGCTCCCCTCATGTGAGTGGAGCTGGGGTGATGCTCCACGGGGATGATCCCTTTGCTTGGTTGTCACCAGCATGAGGTCCCTGGGAAGGGGAGTTGGGGTGGATGTGCTCCCCAGGCATTCCAGTACTGAGGGTTCCCCTCTGTGCAGGGATCCTGTGGAATCTGTCCTCCAGCGACAACCTGAAGGATCGCCTGGCCCGGGACACGCTGGAGCAGCTTACAGACCTGGTCCTGGTCCCTCTCTCTGGGCTGGGGGGCTCGGGTGTCATCCAGCAGAACCCCTCAGAGGCAGAAATCTTTTATAACTCCACAGGCTTTCTCAGGTATTTCCTCCAGGTCCTCCCACTGGGAGCAAAGTTTTGGAGGGAGGAAGAGACAGGAGTGCTGTCTGCAGGGCTCTTTTTTGAGCTCAGGGAAGGGGTGGCTGTGGGGGATCCCATTCTCTCCATGAGAACCCTGTTCCCGTGCAGGAACCTGAGCTCTGCCAGCCAGCAGACCCGGCAGAAGATGCGTGAGTGCCACGGGCTGGTGGACTCTATGATCCACTACGTGAACAGCTCCCTGGAGGTGGGGAAGTCGGAGGACAAGGTGAGCCCCGAGCTGGTTTTGGAGGGGCTCCCCTGTCCCCTTGTGCACAGGCACATCTTGATGTGATGTTGGGAGAGCCAGCCTGGCTCTCTCGGGACACAGTGGGCACAGCCGGCTTCATGAGTCTGCCACGGAGCCCCCGTGCCAGCTGGACACACCCTGCAGGAGGCCCAGGGATGACACCCTCGTGTCCCTTGTGCCCCCCAGAGTGTGGAGAACGCTGTCTGTGTCCTGCGCAACCTCTCCTACCGCCTGTACGACGAGATGCCCCCGTCCTCGCTCCAGCGCCTCGAGGGCCACCGGAGGAACGCGGGCGGCACGGTGACGGGGGAGCTGGTGGGCTGCTTCAGCCCCCAGAGCAAGAAAGCCCGTGAGGTCAGTGGGGGCATGTCCTGGCCGTGTCACCGGGGTGGGGCTGGCACTGGGAAGCGCTGGCAGTGGAGGTGATGCCAGGGTGGAGGTGGACGCCGGCCTCAGCTGGTGGGTGGGACACAGAGGTGAGCTCAGCAGAGGGTGAATCAGGTGTTTGGAGTGAATCAGGGTGCTGAACCCCTGCTTTTCCATGCTGTGGGGCATGAAGCAGCCAGGGTGACCTGCCAGCTCCTTGCCCAGCCGTTCAGGCCAGGCAGGCAGGGAAAAGGGGACGCTGGCAGTGAGGGTCACTGTGGAGGGGACACCCCCCAGAGTGTAACAGTGCCCCTGTCCCTCAGCACTACCTGAACGCGGACATCGTCACCTTCACGGAGGTCTCCAAGGACCCCAAGGGCATGGAGTGGCTCTGGAACCCGCAGATCGTGGGCATCTACAACCGGCTGCTGCAGCGCTGCGAGCTCAACAAGCACACGACGGAGGCGGCCTCGGGCGCCCTGCAGAACATCACAGCCGGGGACCGCAGGGTGAGGCCAGAGCCGGGGGTCCCCCGCACCTGTCCATCACAGCCGGGAAGGGGGCTGGGAAGGGGGCACCCGTGGTTCACCCCGACCTGCTCCCGGTGAGCGGGAGGAGGAGGGAGCTGGCGGAGTCTCCAAGGGGTGTTTGCCTTGCAGTGGGCGGGTGTGCTGAGCCGGCTGGCGCTGGAGCAGGAGCGCATCCTGAACCCCGTGCTGGACCGCGTCCGCACCGCTGACCACCACCAGCTGCGCTCCCTCACCGGCCTCATCCGCAACCTGTCCCGCCATGCCCGCAATAAGGATGAGATGTGTGAGTGCCGGGGATGAACCAGGGCTGGGGGTGTGCTTCCCAACCTTTTCCTTTGCCTCCCGCTATCTCCAGCCACAGCCCAAGCCCATCCTGCCTGCTGCATCCCCACTTGCAGCTGAGCATGCGGGCTGCTCCATCCCCTGTTCCCAGACGTGGCTCTGTCCCCCCTGGCTCTGGCCACCAGCCCTGATGTGCCGTTTGCCCACAGCCACCAAGGTGGTCAGCCACCTGATCGAGAAGCTGCCAGGGAGTGTTGGGGACAAGGCTCCGCCTGCCGATGTCATCGTGAACATCATCGCGGTGCTCAACAACCTGGTGGTGGAGAGCCCCATGGCCGCCCGTGACATCGTCTACTTTGACGGCCTCAGGAAGCTCTTCTTCATCAAGAAGCGGCGGGACAGGTGGGAGCTGCCATGTCCTAGCCCACATCCAGGCTCCTGTCCTGCTCTCCTCTCCCTCCCTGCTCCAGTGCAGTGGTCACAAATTGCCCTTCCCAAGCCTTGGTGTTGGGAGTCCCCAGACTGGCTCGGAGTGGCCTTGTGGCCACCTGGTAGCCCTTTGTCACCCAATAAACACACCCCACCATTGTCACAGCTGCCTTTTCCCATCAGGGAACCTCTCTCTGCTCCTGCTTGTTGTGGTGGGATCCAGCCATTCACCTCCTGCCCTCTCCCCACCTGCACTAATCTCCCAGTCCCTCTGGGCCCTTCTGGGGTGGTCTCCTTGGGCTGGTGGGCACTGGCCCGTGCTCAGTGGTCCCCAAAATCTCATTGCATCCTGTTCCTTTCCCAGCTCGGACAATGAGAAGTCCTCCCGAGCTGCTGCCAGCCTCCTGGGGAACATGTGGCAGTACACCAAGCTCCACCGGGACTTCAAGATGGTATGTACCCATTCCAGAACCTCCCGCAGCCAGTGGGAGGATCCCTAGGGAATCAAGGCCAGGGGCTGCACCCTGGAGAGCCACACCACTCAGACGCTTCCCAGGATATGGTGGGGCCTCACTCCACGCCTGGTTTTCTTTGGGTGTGGGCACATCCCAGAGCGTTGTCCCTGTGAAGGTGGGGTGGGGACGGTGTGGCCCATCAGTGCCGGAGCGCAGGGGCTCCGTGTGCCTGATGGGGCTGTCTCCTTGCAGAAGGGGTACCGGAAGGAGGACTTCCTCAGCCTGTGAGGACACCCTGGGAGCTGGAATGCCTCGCTGGGATGCTCCGTGCTGCTGGCCATGCCATGGAGAGGCTGCTCGCCGCCGGATTCCCGCTCTGTAGCCTAATCCCTACATCCCATACACCTCCCCCCTCTGCTGGGTCCTGTTCCCTGCCTGGGGGACACTTGTCCTCCCTCCTGCCTAGCCTTAAACCTGGCGGCTGCTTTTGGTTGCTGTGGGGCCCACCGGGACCCCAGTTGGGGGGGCTGCCCCATGGCACCCCTTGGGGGCCCTCCACTCTCAGGCAGCTGTCTACAAAACTTGGCTTGTCCTGCAGCTTGATGGGGGGCAGGAGCTGCAGGGAGTTGTGGAGGTTCCTGTAGGGCAGTTCTGGGGTAAGGGGGCTTCTGGGGGCGCTTCATCACAGCTCCCTGAGCTGTGGGGCTGGGGGGGTGTCCGTGCCCTGTGCCACTGTGGGATGTGCTGTGGCTTGCACTTTCGTTCTGCCCTGGCTGGGGATGGGGCTTTGCATGGCTTGGGGGCTTGGAGGGCTCTGAGGTGGCTTCCCATAGTTTATGGGGTGGCACAGCGTCTGCAGGGAGCTGGGAAGTGACACCTTGACAGGGCTGTGTTCCCCATTTGCTAGGGAGGGTGGGCAGGGGGTTGTGTCTGATGGGGCTGCCTGTGCCCTCGCTGCAGGAAGCCTGGGAGGGCCTCAGGGCCCCATCTGTCACCCTGTGGGGTATGTCCCAGTGTGGCAGAGGCACTGCTGTTGCTCCTCAGCAGCTGCAGCCAGGGCTGGGCCCTGCTGGCGCAGCAGGAGCAGGATCTGGGCAGGGCCGCCCAGGTCGTGTTTGCTGAGCAGCGTCGCCCCATGGGTGGGGAGATGCCCCTGGTGTCCCCGGTGCCAGGTGCAGACGGGTCCAAAGCTCCCTGTGCCACAGTGGTGGCCAGGAGGGGACACACGGGTGGGCTGGGGGTGGCTTTGGGCAGCCGGTGGATTTGGGGCTGGGGGAGCCCCCACGCTTGGGGGGCACAGGGCACCCCGGGGGGACGATGTAGAGTAGGTAGAGGGGTGGCAGGATGGGGGGAGCTGCGCCCAGAGAGAGCTGCACCGATGCAGTCCTGGCTCAGGGTCACGGGGGTTTGGCTCTGCAGCTGTCTGTGTACAACCCCCCAGCCCTGTGTACCCCTGAAATAAAGGCCTTGAGTGATGCCCACCTGCACCTGCGTTTGGATGGCACCTAGGAGGGGGGACAGTGCCACCAGTGCCGTGGGGACACGAGCACAGGGTGAACTCGCCCGCAGTGCCACGCCACGCTCCGTGCCTGGCATGGCTCCAAGTTAGTGGGACACTGGTGTGGGAAGGACAGACCGAAGCACTGCCTCTGGTGGGGAGACCCCCCCTCCCTGTGTCACCTGTGTTCCCATCATGGACAGACCCAGTGGGTGCAGCAGCCTTTTATTGTCACGGGGGTTTCCATGGGACAGAGGTGCTGCCAGCACTCCTGTCGGGCACTCCCTGGGGCTGGGGCACATGTTCCTTGGAGAGCATCACCCATCCCAGTATTTGTCCATCATGCAGGAAGAATGTCCCTGCCACCCACGGCAAGGGACAGGGCCCAGCCACCTGGGTGGCACCCAGGGGTGGCACTGAGGCATTACGGGCAGGGTGCTCCTAGGTTTTCCAGTTTTCCACTTTGGAGCCAGCTCCTGCTTTCCCAGCATGGCCGTGCCTCTGATCCCGTAACTCCCAGGCTCCTCGGCCCTAACTTGGTCCGTGTGTCCCCACAGGGATGGGGGACACCTGTGGCCCTGCTCAGATGTCATCCTCTGTCACCAGGCAGTAGAAGTCCGTGCGGGCGCCGTAGTTGCGCGATCCCAGATCTGAGATGTCGAGCTCGGAGCGCTGCCCGTCCCGCAGCTGTGCATCCTCCATCCCACTGCACGCCCTGGGAGTGCCGCGGCCACCGAGGCGGGGCGGCGGGGGGCTTCCGAAGACGCGCCCTCGGAGGCCTGGCAGGAGCAGGGAGATGGGTTTAGGTGGAGGGGGAAAGGGCTGGACCCACCCCACCGCCACAGGAGCAGGAGGCAATGCTCAGGAGGGACCTCCAGGGCGTATCTGTCCCCTCAGGAGAAGCGGCAGGGACACGGACCTGTGCCGAGGTCCCCGTCTGGGTCCAGGTCTCCTGCACTGTCCAGGTAGCTGCTGTGCAGGATCAGCATGGGGTCCTTGTCCTCCTGCAGCTGGGTCTGCGGGTCCCCCACGCTCCCTGGGAAGGACACCTTGCGCGGCAGGGCCAGGCACAGCTCCTTCCAGAAGTCCGACGATGGGGTCTGCAGGGGCCAGGAGGGGATGAGCCGGGCTGGGAGCACCGGAGCACGGCCCCGCACAGTGTCACGGGCTTGGCTCGCTCTCTCCAGCACTGGGAGCTCGGCCAAGGTGAGGGCTGTGCTCTGGCGTGGCACCGTGCCCATGCGCCGGCGGAGAAACCGGCCCGACCTGCTGGAACGCTCCTCAGGGCTCCGGCTCCCAGCCTGGCCCCGAAATGGCCGGAGCTGAGGCTGGGGAGGCCCTGGAGTGTCACAGGGTCCTGACCATGCAGGTTTGGGGGGTGAGCTCCCAGATCCGGCGCTCTTCTGGTTGGGTTTTTAAATGTCCTCCAAAAGGCAAGTGCCCCAACCTGCTCTTTAGCACTGGAGCCTGGGGGAGCAGCCCCAAAGGGCAGCAGGGAGGTTGACCCAAAATGGGAATGGAGGGGGCTGCTGGTGGGGTGGGTCCTGCTCAGCTCTCACCATGGGGCAGTCCCAAAGGGCAGAGAGGGGCTGGCACTGTGGGGTGCTGGGGAGAGAAAGGGGCTTCTGGAGGGGTCAGGATCCTGCTCAGCACACACCATGGAGCCGGCTCTCCACACCAGCAGGGTCACAGCGCTTCGGTGCTGCTTCAGCAGGGTGATGGCGGGGTGAGTGATCTCCCGGTACTGGCTCTCAAAGACGATGAAGATGGGTTTCCTGGAAAGCTCCAGCAGCCTCCAGAGCCCATCCCTGTGAGAAAGGTGGGTGACAGGAGGGTGGGGGACCCGTCAGCCCCTCTCCTGTGGGAGCTGCTCTGCTCCTACCTGAAGCTGCTGTTGCACCAATCCTGCTCCAGGTACGCGAAGGAGAGCACCACGATGAGGCGCCGGCACCGGCTGACATTCATGATGAGGTCAGCTGACGGCTCTGTGGACAAAAAAAGGGTGTCAAGCCCCCAGGTGTCTGTGTCACCCCCTGCCCAGCCCTGCATGGTGCCTACCTGAGTTGGGCAGGATGTTCTGCTCGTCCAGGAAGAGCTTGTAGCCGTGGCGGTTCTCCAGCTGCGGCTTCATGATGAAGTGGACAAACTTCCGGTCGTCGGGGGCAGTGGCATGGGAGACATAGGCATCGTACAGCTTCCCGTCTGGGGAGATGCACAGAGCAGGGATAACATGGGAAGGGCTGTGTGAGCCCCTGGACCACGGGAGGCTGTTCCTGGTGGGGTGTCACCTCCGGCTCACCGTTGATCTCCAGCTCTCCGTAGCGGTCCCGGTACCAGAGGAGCGCATTCAGGCGGCACCGGACGTAGAGCACAGCCAGGAGCACCAGGAGCACCAGGACCAGGAGGGCTGCCAGCACCGCTGGCACGTGTCCCACGGCCTCTGCCAGGACAGGGAAGGGCACTGTGAGCGTACCTGGGTTTGGTGCAGGTTTGCACCCCAATGTGGGAGAGGCAGCAGGGCCCCTATCACTCTCCTCAACCCCCCATGCACCTGGGCTCTCTGTGGGATGCCCCCTCCCTGTCCCCAGCAGGTCCCTACCTGCTCGCCGCAGGGTGAAGGTGGCCGTGGCATTGCTGATCCAGCAGGCAAACACCCCAAAATCGGCATAGTGGGTGAGGTTGAGCTGCAGGATGCTGGCCAGGAGCTTCTCTGAAGAGTTTTGGCCAGACCTGATGGGACATGGGGATGCTGTGGATTGGGCTACGTGGTGACACCCCCCCCAAAAGCAGATGGATGGATGTTCCAGGGCAGGCTCCTTACCAGACAGTGTCCTGGCTGCTCCCATTGCCCAGCCACTGCCCATCCTTGCTCCAGGCAGGAATGGGCTGGCAGCGCTCGGTGCCCACCCAGCGCACAGTGCAGTTCAGTTCGACCTGGCTCCCCAGCACCAGATCTAGCGTCTCGTTGGCAGCTGGCACCAGGATTTCAGGGGGCACACTGCAAAGGTCTGGGGGCATAGAGGGCAGGGGGTTTGGGTGGGAAAGCTGATCCAGCTGCCCCCAGGACACGTGACTGCTGTAGCCATCCCGGAAAAACAAGCTCTGCCTTGGGGGTCTGGCAGTGAGTGGTGCTCGTGGCTGTTTAGCAACAGGCTGAGCTGGTTTGAGGGGCTGGGAAGGACCCTCGGCACCCTAGGAGGTGACACCAGAGCAGGACCCCCAGTTGAGCTTGCACAGAGATCCTTCCCAGCTGAGAACAGGGAAGGATTGGGATTTCACTTACCTGCCATGGTGTGCTCAGGTGACAGGCGCAGGTGCTGCCAGCATCTCACGCGGCGTCTTCCGGGGGACAAAGTCCACCTGCCTCTGCCACAGGGCGGGCTGGGCCTGGGACAGACCGGGAATAGCTCCGTGAGTGCTGGCACAGGGAGGGCCTGGCCTCCCCCATCGGCCCCTGCAGTGATTCTGTCTGGGGGTGGTGGGTGCTGCTCTGCGGTAAAGCCAAAGCCACGTCCCACCCACAGCCCAGTGGCCACTGTGTCACCTGCCCTCCCTGCACTGACTCCCAGTGTGGCTTTCCCAACCATGAATTCATGCGTGGGAGGTGATTAATGACCAGCTGGGGGTTGCAGGATTTAAAAAAATACAGCTTCAGCCTAAATCCAAATCCCCACCAAGGTGGGGAAATGAGCTCAGCCATGGGAAACCACAGCTTTGGAGGTCTCAGTGGTACCTCCTTCACCTACCAAGCCCCTGCCTGGGCTGCAGAGCTGCCTCCAGCCTGACATGCCCTTGAACCTGCTAATTACCAGCGGTCTGGTTTGTTTATGGAAATGCAGCCTCCCACCTGGAGAGCTCCCCGGCGGGTGCGGTGTTCCCGGCGCGTTGGGAGCCTCGGCACGTTGCTACCCCGTGGCTGTGCCCAGGGATTGGCACAGCTGCACAGTATTCCAGACAAGTGGGCAGCACAGGGATGGCACACCCAGAACCCCCCAGCTGGCATCACCAGAAGTGTCATTGTGACGGCCCCGTGGGAAGAGGCGGATACTGGGAGCAGACAGCGGAGCAGAGCTGGGCAAGGCTGGGCTCCTGTGTTCCCACACGCCTGATGTGGGTGATGTGGGTGCTGAGGTGGGAGGCTCAGGGACATCACGATGCCAATGTTTCCAAGGTAAACACCCGGCCTAACTCTGCGAGTGAGGAGGGGTGAAAGCCTCTCCCAGGGCTCCTCTTTGCTCTGGAGATTCAGCACTCCTGGGTGCACCCTGACTTTGGGTGGGAACAGGGCTGGTCCCCCCCCGTGTTTGTTGGTGTGGAATGGGAAGAGGAGGTCTGTGGTGCTGCCTGGCTTGGAGCAGGGATGCAGGCACGGTGCTTCCCTCTGGAACAGCCTAGTGCCAGGCGTGGGGTTAAACCAGGGATCAAGGTACGCGAGAGACGCCCAGTGCATGTTCAGCTTGACCAGCTGGAAGTGATTTATACCTAAAGGATTAACTGAGTTTCTCCATGGCCAGGGATGGAAGAGGACGGGATGGAGATGAGCCAACCCACCTGGATTTCACATGGAGAAAGGGTGGGAGACGCTCACGAGGATGGCGTGGGGCTGTCTCTGCCTGGCGCGATGCTCCGGCTCTGCTCCTGGATGGGTCACTCCTAAGCCATTTCCTCTGGTGGTCGGGATAAGGAAGCTCCAACAAGCTGCAGCCCGGCCAGGGGCTGTGGGGAGGCCCCAAACCCCCGGAGCCCTTTGCTCCAGGGAATGAGTGTTGGATAACAGGGAGTGAATGCCGGGACTGCTGAGTGCCAGGGAGAGAGGAGCACCGGCTGACAGGCAGCAGTGGCTCCCATTTCCCACATCCTGGCCTGGGGACACCCCGGATTTGAGGCAGAGGACCATGTGGATGTTGTGGGGTGGTGAATGATGGCTGGGTGCAGAATTCCCTAGAGCATGGCCATGGGGAAAGTGAGGAGGACAGGGAGGCACCATGGCCAGGGAGTTGTGAGTGGGTGTGCCGAGGGAGCAAGCGGGATGGAGAGCTGAAGGAGGGCCAGAATGGGAATGCACAGGGAATGGGGCGAGGGTGAAACCCTGCTGACCTCATCTGAGGTGGCTTGAGCATGGAAAGGGAAGAAGAACTGAGCTGCATTTACCTTTGGAGCTTCCCCAGCCGCAGGCTTCCTGCTTGCTGCCTCCCGCTTCAGCCGACCCGACCGGCCAGATCAGTGCTTGGAATTTCTCTTTTTTTCTTTCTGTTTTAATAGTTTATCTATTTCTCCTCCCAGTTCAGCCCCTGCCCTCGGCCGGGCGCTCCCGCTGCCCCAATCCCCGGGCTCCAGGCCCGTGGGAAGGGCTGCCTGTCCCTCCCTCCCACTGCTCCACCTCCACCTGAACCTGCCGGGGAAAAATCCAACAACTCCGGCTTCCGGGGAGGGGAAAAGAGAGGGGAAAAAAGAGAGAAGAGGGGGGGGACAGCAGCATACCCAGCAGGTGTGGGATCGCCTCCCAAGACTTGGGGGCGAAGGAGGAGCCCCTGGTTTTCCATGGCTGGAAGAGCCCACAGAGGTGTCTGGGCAAGAAGAAACCTTTGCCAGCCATCAGATGTGCCTGTGGGCATCGTGTTTGGTTCCTTCTCCTCCCTTTCCTTCTCTCTGTGCCTTTAGAGCCTTTTTGCCAGATGAAGCTGGTGCTGGAAGTGGTTGCTCCGGCTGACGCTGGCCGTGGGGAGCTGGATCCTGCCGTGGCCCCTGGTGGAAAGCATCCCCTGTGCTAATTACCATGGAGGTGATTAGAGCCTCGGCATGCCCCGGGCATGGATGTGGTGACAGCAGCACCGGCAGCCTCTGGACAAACACCAGTCCGAGCCACAAAAGCATCAACCAGCACGTGATGTGAGGCTAGAAAGGGAAGAGGAGGGCCATGGGTGCAGTGTATGTATTTATATATATACACATATATATATGCATATATTTAATAATAATATAGCATTACATTTAATAATATATCTATGTAGATGGATATTGAGTAACTATGCATATATAAATAAACATGTACAGGTCACGGGTAGGTCTGTGGGCCTGTTCCCATGGAGAAACACACCGACTCGGACTCCTCATTGTTTAGGATATAAATTACCAGTGCTGCTGGCTTGTTGTGGGAGGGAAAGAGACAGAGGGAACCCTGTTGTATTTCTGGGGAGAATCCCCAGCTCCTGGACCCCACAGCCACTGGCTTGTGTGTTTGGGGCAGCAGGTGTTGGAGCAGTCCTTTCTGAGGGCTGCCCGCTTGTCATGGGCACTGTGATTCATCAGCTGTAAAATCCAGTGTAAATCTGTTGGATTTGTGGGAAGGTGAAGGATTGCATGGGACAAGCCCAGGTTCTGGGGATGGCAGGGGTGTTGGGGGGCTTGGGAGCAAATCAGGAGCTGATAATACGTTTATTGTCTATCAGGGTTATCCCTGTGGTACATAAATTAAATGGAGGAGCAGAGGCAGTTTTGGTCACAGTGGTGCAAAAACAGGACAAGCCCGAGGGCTCAGCAAGCTCCTTTTCATTCCCTATGGGATGGTTAGTGGCTTTCCATGCTCTTGGGAGCAAAGTTTTGAGGCTGAGTTAACCCTGGTGCCTTTCCCTGCAGTCCTGACTGGGGTGTGTCACCTCCAGGGCACAGGCCCCAGGACCAACACCTTGGGAAGTCTCTGTGGACACAGGCAGTGTCAGGGTGGTCCAGCCAGGTTGGGGTAACTACTAGTGGGAAAGGAGGGGGCTTCGCCCCAGTTTTGCCTCTGGGATCCCCTATCAGAACCCCCTGAGCTGTGGCACCTGTCCAGTCCTGGGGTGTCACCCCATTCCTGCTGCAGACAAACACGTTCTGTCTGGAGTAGGGGGGGCCAGCCAGTAGTGGTGTCTCTAAAGGAAAAGGTGGGATAACCCTATCATTTGGGATTTGCTGTGTTTTTCCCATTTCCCCCAGGTATTTCCATTATCCCGGCACATTTACCAGGCTGTGTTCCCACTGTTCATGGCCAAATCCTGGTGTCCCACCAGCCAGCTCCCACACAGCCCTTGGAGTGGGCACAGCTCCCACCTGTGATTGTCCCCACTAAGACAAGGAAAGGTTTTGGGGGATGATTTGGGATGGCAGAAGAGGAAGGCAGGAGCAATACCAGACAGCAGCTGATGGTCTGTGTGTCCATGTGGATGTTGTGTTTATTTACCGAAGGCTGGTGGCAGCTGAGCCAGGAACAAGTCTCAGGACCCAGCTGAGTCCGGAGCTAGACACAAGATAACAACGGCATTTTTCCAATGTCCATGGAGACACCAGGGCAGAGCTGGAGCCATGTGAGAGTCATGCCGGGGAGGAGTTTGGTGAAAGAGGGTCTCAAGTTCCCCAGTGGTGTGAGAGTGAGGAGGTCAGGGAAGGCAGTGGAAAAAGAGCCCAAGGCCAAAGTACAAAATAAGGGCTGGAGAGGGAGCCTGGAATGAGGTGCGTGGTGTTTCCTGTGCTTAAGGAAGTGAGTGACAAGGACCCAGGTCATCTCCTGCAGCCCAGAAGCCGGGTGCTGCCCCTGGGTTTGTCCCCAGCACCACAGCTCTGTCCCAGCCACTCCCCGTGATAGGGAGGCACATCCCGGCTCTGCCCCAGCATCCTTCCTTCCCAAGTTGGAAAGCAGTCTGCTCCTGTGAAGCCACTGTCTTGTCATCACTTCCCAGCTCAAGTCCAGCTCAGTCCCAGATGGGACATGTGGCACCGTGTCATGGGGCTCATCTGGCACCCCTGGCACCGCCAGGCTGGGAAAGGGGCTCGAGTCCATGTTCTCCTTCTCCTTGGTGAGCGGTGGCTACACCTCGGTGGAGTATTCCATCATGCTGGGGAGAGAAGAGAGAGACATTGGGAACTGTCTGAGTTGGGAAGTGTGGAAAAACATTCCGAGTAGGAACAGGGCCTCTTCTCCAAAACAGATGGAGAAAGGATGACAGGCTGTTTGTGGAAAACCCCTGTTTGTGGGGAATCCCACAGTCAATAGGAAGGCAGAGAAGGAAAGCTGTGACAGTGTGGTGTTGGGTTGTTTTTGCACAGCCTGGTTTTTGGTAGCAGGGGTGCACAGAGGTGGCTTCTGTGAGAAGCTGCTGGAAGCTTCCACCATGTCTGGCAGAGCCAGTCCCTGATGCTCTGGAAGATGGACATGCTGCTGGCCAAGGCTGGACCAATTAGAGGTGTTGATTACGCCTCTGTGACAATGTATTTAAGAAGAAAATGAAAACAAAAAGGGGCACAGGTTTTTTTTCTAGCCAGAGGGAGAGGAGGAGGTGAGAACATGCGAGGGAAACAACATGGTGACACCAAGGGCAGTGCAGAAGGAGGGGGAGGAGGCACTCCAGGCACCAGAGCCGAGATTCCTCTGCAGGCCATGGTGATGACCACGGTGAAGCAGCTGTGCCCCTGCCGCCCGTGGGGATCCATGGGGGATGCAGAAATCCACCTGCAGCCCGTGTTGGGGGACGTCCAGGCTGGAGTGGGTGGATGCCTGGAGGGGGCTGTGATCCACTGAAAAATCTGGTGGAGAGGGTGGCCCTGCTTCCAGGCTGGAGCATCCTTTCCTTGAGGGATAAGTAGAAGAGTGACCCACACTGCAGCAGTTTTGGGAGGACTGTGTACCCATGAGAGGGACTCATGTTGCAGTGGTTTTGGGAGGACTCCTGCTTGTGAAATTGGAGCCATGGTGGAGAGGGTTGCAGAGAACTCTCTCCTGTGGGAAAGGACTCCTCTCCCTGAGCAGCACAAGAAAACCTTGGGTGACAAACTGACCAAAACCCCCATGCCCTATCCCCTGCACTGTCAATGGGAAGGAGGGAATGGTTGGGGGAAGCAAAGGTGTTTTTAAAGGCTTATTTTACTTCTCATTATCATCCTCTGATTTTGTTAGTAATAAATTCACTTTGTACTTCTAAGTTGAGCCTGTTTTGCCCTTGGAGTGTTTTCTCCAAGTCTTTATCTCAGTTCATGAACTCTTTGTTAATTTTTTCTCTCCTCTGCCCAGCTGTGGCAGGGGAGGGTGAAAGAGCGGCTTTTGTGAGTGCCTGGAGTTTGGCCAGTGTCAAACCACGAGAGGTGTTTCCTGAACCCTGCTCTCTGCTCCCATTGGGATTATGGGTGGCAGCTGGGATTATAGGTGGCCATGGAGGGGGGTCAGGCTGAGCTCTTCCCAGAGCACAGCTTAGTCACTATAGGACAGCAGCACAGGGGTTTGTTGCACAACTACAAAATGGTTCTGTTTCCCACTGAAATACTTAATCCTTTCTCTTTAAACAAAGTTTAGATGGAAAACCTGGGAAAAGTCCTTCCCTAGGCAAAATCAGTTCATTTTTTAACTTAGAGCTTTTCTTTTTCTGAAGGAAAAGTGGCTCCAGAGCAGACAGATCTTGAAACCTGACAACCCCTGACACCTTCCAGGGCATCACCCACCTCAGTTCGTTACGGAGATTACTGTGTTTTTCCCTCAGAATTTGATTCTTGACCTTCTGGGGGACATCGGGGATGTACCAGGCTGCGATCAGCTTTACGCACAGAGCCACGTGCTGTGGGAAGCAAAGACAGTCAAGGGCTCCCAGCCTGGGCATGAGGCACAGATCCAACCCCTTTTCCAGCCCTCTCCTGCCTCCCTGGGTGCTCACCTCGAAGAGGATGAGGAAAGCGAGCCGGGCTGCAAAGATGTGCCAGAACTGGATGGTGTAGGTGTAGTCATCAGCGTTCCGATAGTCCCGGTACCTGCAGCACAGCTCCGTCGGTGCCAGCCAAGGCTATTCCATTCTGGCCTGGATGTCAAGGTGAGGGGCAGGGGCTGGCAGGGGCTGCTCTTACCTGCACTCCTTGATTTGGACCCCATTAAATTCTGGCAGCACCTTGGTGTGGGGCTCGAAGTCCTGGATGTGGAATATGGAGAGGCTGTTGTTGATGTACCCGGTGGAGCAGCTGTGGGGAAAGACTGGGTTGAGCATGGATTGTACTCTCCTGTTCTGGGGAAGCATAACCCTCCTAGGGCTCTCACTGCCCACTTTCACAAAGCCTGGTGGAAATGGAGGGCTCAGAGGCTTGTGTCGTGTTTGAGTGAACTGGGCCAGTCAGCCAAGGCTTGGAGAAATGGGGGGAGGGCAGGAGAGAGCATGTCCCTGCATCCTGGGAATCCTGTAGCCCTCCAATATTACACACTTCCCTTTCCAGTCCGTTTACCCACCACAGGGATGATGTGATGATGCCTTGTGGGAACGTTCCTCTGCTCTCTTTTCCCCCCCACCTCACTCTGGGTGACAGCTCAGCTGTCTCATGCTCCTGCAGTGGTGGCACTGAGGCAGGAGGGGACACAGCTGTGGGGACAGGGCCGTGGGGATGCTGTGGACAGGGACTGTCTTGGAATTGAACTCACTCCATGCTGGTGTGGTTCTCCCTTGTGCAGGGGCTGTACATGTACTTGTAGACCTGCACAGGGATGAAGTCGGAGGTGATGGCGATCACCAGCCCATTCCCGATGACAGCCAGGGTGCCGATGGCCTCTAGGACCTGCAGCCAGATCCCTGTGGGAGAAGAGCAGCCGGTGAGGTCCCTCTGCCAGCTCTCTGCCACCATTCCAGCTCAGGGACAGCTTTAGCATGGCCAGGTCAAGGAAGTAGCCTCCAAGGTGCCCTTCAGCCTCTGGCAGAGTCTGAAGCAGCTTGTCCTTCTCCGACTCGTGGCTCTCCCTGCACTGTCCCATGGCCATGGGGTGCTCAAGGGCTCAGCCTGGTGCTGCAGGACCCCTCTCACCGATGTCCTTGGCCTTTCTGGGCACCATGCGCCGGCGCAGCCGCATCATCTTGATGGCGTCCATGTGAATCTCGATGATGTTGTTGATGAGGGCCAGCAGTGGGGCCAGGGGAAAGGCTGCCACGAAGATGGTGGTGAAGCTGTACTGGATCACTGGAGGGGGAAACACCAGGTGCTGGTGTGAATCCACTGCAGAGGGGACGTCCCCCTCTGTCTGGGTTTGTCCTGCTTTGTGGCTTGGGTCAGAGGGGTTTGCAGGGGTGGAAGGGGGAGATAGCCACGTCTTGGGAACACACAGCTCTCACAGGGCTGTCAGAGAGTGGGATCTGTGGGGATAGTTGAGCCAGTCAGTCACAGGCACACCCTGGGGTTACAGCCGTGGCCCTGGAAGGAGAGGAAGGTCCAAGGCAGGGCCAAAGGCTAGCATAGTTTCCTGCTCTCTGTTTTGGAAATGATCTTGGTGTCCCAGGGCTCTCAGAGCAGGGCAGGGTGTGGAGTTGTGGCTCCTTGCCCGTGTATGGACTCCCTGGCATCTGTCACTCCCCAGCCAAGGAGTGCACAAGGATCTGCTCCACGTACCTATCTCCAAGTACTCATTGAACAAGCTGAAGACGTTGACCTCGTTGAGTTCGTAGTTGTTCAGCCACTGCCTTTTGCAGGGGTCCTCTGCCTCCTCCTCCTCTCCTAACATCACACTTCTCTTCTTGGGGGACTTTTTCTTCTTCCGTAGCTGGTGGGATACCCAGCTGCAGTGGGAGAGAGGGATTTGTGTGGCTGCCTGCGGGGCTGGGCTGCTGCCAGCACATCCTTGGAGGAAGGGGAAAAGGAAAAAGACCAGGGTTCATCTCTGGGAAGTATCAGTGTGGGAAGCTTACGGGATGAGGTACTCCATGATGTTGCTGATGGTCTGCTTGAGCAGCATGATGACAGCCATCTGGATGAAGAGGTCGGTGATGCAGCCGCTGGGGTGGCACTGGAGGGGACAACAAGACAGGGGTTGTGCCCTGCAAACAGGGTGGGTGGGTGGGCCTGAGGGACCCTTTGGCAGGTGCTATGGGAGAAAGCTGGGCTTCCCAGAGATTCCCTGGGTAGTAGGGAAAGGAAGAGGAGGAGTTGTTTGTGGGGTCAGAGAGTGGGTGCCTCACCTCCTCCAGCCTCCAGTGGCCAGCAATGCGCACGTAGTGCCCTGGGTGGCCATTGATCCTAAGCAAGGAAGCAACAGTGATACTTATGGGGTCATGGCCCTCCTGAGTCCCAAATGGGGTCCTTGTGCCTGGTGGGAAGGGCAGAGGGGCTGGGCTGTCCATACACCCTGGGGAGATTTGGGAGCATTCATCCCAAACCCTGGCTGCCCTGTGTTCTCCACTCACCGTCCCAGGAAGAAGGCGATGTAGATGAGCGAGGAGAAGTTTGTGAAGAACTGGAAGATGAAGATCTTCACAGTGAAGTTGTTCTCCTGCTCAGAGAAGGTCCGTGGTTTCTCTAGGAAAGAGAGAAATGCCCAGGGGCTTGGTCATAGAGCAGTGGGACCTTGCCCTGCTCCTCCATGGGTACCACCACAGCTCTGGAGGTCCAGAGGGTGTCTCTGCCCCTTGTGAAGCCTTCCCTGCCTGAGCCATCTGATGGATGTGATTCCAGCCAAGCAGGGAGGTCCCTCAGAGCCATGAGCTGGGGGAGAAGGGGCCTTAGAGCTGGGAGGAAATCCATGTTGTGACCTCTCCAGGAGCTGGGGTGGCTTCCTGCTCATGCCAGGTCTCAGCCCTGTAGGGTGACTGTCCCTGCAAAACTGGCTGTGGGACAGCATGTGGGCCACAGGTGTGTGCTGGGTGGCTGCTGGCCTCCCTGTCTGGAGCTGCCTGGAAGCTGCCTTGTGCTGGTGGAGGGAGGGAAAGGGCTGGGAGGCTGGCTGTGCTCAGGGACAAAAGGGTGCTGCAGGTGGGACACACCCCATTTCCCTTACCCAGGCTGCAGAGGAAGAGGGCCACTTGCCAGTTGACCTGCAGGACAGAGGGATACCATGAGCAGGGGGCGGGGCTGGCCGTGGAGAAATCCTGCCAGACATCCCCTGTGGCTCCTCACCTTGGTCATGATGACGATGGTGACGTAGTGCAGCACGGCCCCCGTCATCACGGCGATGGTGTCGGCGTGCTTGCTCAGCAGGTTCACTTCGCTCTGCGTGAACAGTGCCATGGCCACCGCCCGGTAGATGACGAGTGCGTGGGCAATGCCGATCAGCACCACGATCTGTGGAGAGGGAGAGAGGGGTCAGGAGCCACCGAGGGCATGTGCTCCATTGCACCTGATGGCCCCCTCAGCAGGGCCCTGGATGTGGCCTCAAAGGCAAACCAGCACCCTTCGGTGGACAAGCCTGTGAGGTGGATGTAGTGATAGGACAAGGAGTAACGGGTACAAGCTGAAAGAGGGGAAATTTAGGCTGGATGTTAGGAAGAAATTCTTTCCTGTGAGGGTGGGGAGATACTGGAACAGGCTCCCCAGGGATGTTGCAAATGCCCCAGCCTTGACAGTGTCCAAGGTCAGGTGGGACAAGGCCTTGAGCAACCTGGGGTAGTGGGAGGTGTTCCTCCCCATGGCATGGGGCTTGGGACTAGGTAAGGTCCCTTCCAACCCTTAACATTCTATAATTCCAGGATTCTATGTCTCCACCTGAACCAGTCTCTATTGACCCACAGTGGGGACAAACGCATTGGGATTTGCCTCTTCCTGCCCTCTGTGTCACTGCCTTGATCCACATGGCAAGAGCAGAGCCTTCAGCCCATGTCCCTGAAGGGTGGGTGGCCCTGCCATCAGCACAGTGAGGTGTGAGCATGAGGAGGCCCCAGGATCCTTGTGATGGGCATGGAACTGCCCTAAAAACCTGGTCTGTGCCTTTGCTCCTTTGGTCCATGCACCCTTAAACCAAAGGTTCCCATTGTCACCGGGCACGTACCATCAACACAGCCAAGACGAGGACGATGGTGCTGCGCAAGTAGGAGTGCTGGTACAGCCGGGGTTCGTGCTGAGAGTTATTGATCAGCTGCAGAGCCAGCTCCTCCTTTAACAAAAAAAAAAGAAAATTAAAAATGGGAAAGAAATGGGAAAGAAAGGACCCAGCAGTGCTTTATCCCCTTGGGTCAGTGGACATACGGGATAAGCAGTGCTGGAGAAGGGCAGAGGTGCGCACCCAACCCACAAGAGTGTGGCCAAGCCTGACTGAGTTCAGTCTGGGCAAGGGATCCCTCTGATGTGTCTTTTCTAGGTCTAAGTGACTCCTGCCCTGAAAAGGGAAGCACCAAGCAAGAAAGATGATGTCCTCACCTCTTCCTCATCCCACCCGTACAGGTCCCAGTTGATGGCCACAGTGGCTCTCTCCCTCTTCCACAGCTCCAGGAATACAGTGGCTGGATTGGGAAGGAGAAAGTGAGGTGACACTTAGGAATGGCTCTGAAAGCCACCCTTCTGTCTCCCAAAGAGTCACATCACATCCAACCTGATGGCAAACCAGTCTGGACTGCCCTTGGGCCATGAAGGACAGGCAGTCCCCTCTGCACCTTGGTGACCTGGAAGGGCCCTGGACAGGCAGCAGTGAGGGAACGGGGATGGTGCAAGTGAGCTTTCACTGGGCTGGTCTAGTGTCAGTAGGGAATTAGGTATAAGTCACTTTTCAGGTGCAATGGGTGTACCTGCGCTGCACCCTGGCAAGGCTATATCTCTCCAACTCCAATTCCAACCACCCCTTACGTTAATTGGATTGATGCTCCTGATTATGTCCCTGTGTGACCCAGCCCATGGACACAGTCAGGACTGTGCCGTGGCTTTGCAGGTGGGACACCCGACCCACTCCTGTGGTGGCTGGTCAAGGAAAGGGCCATGGAAAAGCCAGATGAGTGTGCAACTATGGCAGCAATGGGATTCCATCATTCCATAGCAAATAAGAAGCTGTACAGAGGTTTGGGGAGGTGGAGGAGGAGTCTGGAGGCCCCTCCTTCCTGTGGTTGCAACCATTTACAGGCAGCTGCTAGGAAATTGCTGGGTGCCTTTGGGGAGGCTATGCTGAGCAGAAGCTTCAGGTAGAACAAGCTTCAGGTAAGGAATATTTGGGGAGCTGGAGGATATCAGCAGGATGGTTTTGTCTCTTGCTGTGTCTGGAAGGGGAGCTGAAGGCTCTGGAAGCAGAGGAGATACAAAACCCCCTGCAAAGGGTGAAGTTATGTTGGTGTCCTATTTTTCACCTTCTGCTCCCTCTCCCAGCCACATGTACTGGGCACCCAGGCATGGACACCTACCCCAGATGGCCATGAAGATGGCAAACACCACCGTGGCCTCATTATCAATCATGTGAGTGACCTGGAAGAGATGAAGGAAGAGTGTGGTGGGGCACTGAGGTGCAGGGGCTGTGGCACCTTGCGGTCTTGCCATGCTCACCTCCCCTGAGACAGGTAAAGGTGCTACAGGAGGGCAAAATGCAGGAAGGTGATGGACACTGGGGCTTGTCACTGGTAAAATGTTCCATGGTGATGATGGAGACTGTGATCTGGAGTGGGGTTTCTCTTTAGTGGTGTGGGAGCAGCCTGAGCTGGGAGTGTTTTCCCCATTCTTTACCTCAAGCCTGCCCTGGAAAGGGGGTTCCCTACCTTGGCGTAGGTGCAGGTGTCTGAAAGAACCCAGAACGAGCAATTCTGGTCACAGAGCGGGCACATGATGGTGTTGTTGGCATCACAGATCTCCTTGCTGGAAGAAAGGAGGAAGAGAAGCCAAGGGGGACAAGGGTTCCTCAGAGCCACCTGCAGAGCTGAATGGGATGTACATTTGGCATTCCCAAGGGCCTTACCTCACCTGGCTGGAACTGAAAACAGTAGCCCCAGCTGCGACTGTTGCCAGCCCAGCCAGGGCAGCGAAAACCAGCAGGTAGGTGTACCAGCCCAGCCAGGCGAAGTACAAGGCCACCTTCTCTCCAAAATAGCACCTAGGAGGAAAGGTGAGCTGGGATTACAGCCAGAAAGGAGATCAGATGTTGGGAGTCACTAGAAAATGCCCGTGGTGGCAGTATCTCAGTTTTTATGGCATGGGGAGCGGGTTGGAGTCACGGATAAGAAATGACCTACTGACTGAGGGACGGGGAGCCCTGTATCCCAGAGGAATTAACTTCATGCCAGCTGTCAGAGGTGCACCTCTATTTTAAGATCTCTCCTCTCTACCAGAGCCCCTTGGCAGGTTTATGAAGTAAGACGTTCTTTTTGCCCTTCCGCCCCTGCCTACGGAGTTAGTTTTCAAAGACAAGAGCTGTGCTCTTTCCTGGGATTTCATGTGGTTGTAGGAGCCCCATGTTGCCTTTACTGCCCCGAGTTCAGCCTTGGGCTGGCTGTGCAGCACTGATGCTCCGTTCCCACCTCTCCTGCCTTCTGAATGTGTCTGAAAACCAAACATGTTCATTAAAGTCTGCACAGACGTGGGGGTTGTTTCATGCTGCAGGATTAGCAGATGGAGCTCAGAGCCACAGGGATAACCCTCAGGCTAAGAACTCTGGAAGCTGCAGAGGCAGCCCAGTGCTTTTGAGCACTAATGATTTTTAAGACAGTGCAGGAGCCTGGCAAAGGGCACTGAGCTCTCTGCGTTTCAGGTAGGACCACTTGGTTAGAAAAATCTGCCTCTTGTGCCTGTGTTACCTGATCTCCTCAATTGGCTGCTCCTTAAAGAGAACTCTCCAGCGAGCCCACTTCTTCTTTAGTATTTCCCTTATGTCTTCTTTCTGGAGAGGAGAGAAGTTGGTTGGTTGCAGGAACATCAGGGCACCCTTAATGCCCTGCACAGCTCCAAGGCAGGTGCCAGGAGCTTTGCCGTGCCTTTCACCCAGTGAGCTCTTGGTGCAGCCCCGGTCACCCACCGGTCCCCCCCACCCCATCCTGCTCCTCCATCTCTTCTGGATTTTCCTCCCAGGCACTGTGTGCTTGGCCTCACCTTGTGCAAGGGAAAGGCTGCCTCAAACACCTTCTTCTTCATCAGATCACGCAGCTTCTCTGGGAGCAGAGCAGAAGGGACAGGGTTAGGCTTAGGGATCTGGGGAGACGGAGAAGAGGAACTGCTGATTCCTGCAGTCCAAATCTCCCAGCCTCTGGATGCAACAGCAAATTGACTTGAGTTCCCCCCTTTTCTATTCTCCCCAGGATGGCAAGGCAGCTGGGATGCCAGTGCCCAGGATTCTTGGGCAGGATTCTTCCTGCAGATGCAGGCTGAGCATCACCCCTGTGATCCCCGTTCCCTTACCTAGGTCGGACGTCACAGTGTTCTGCAGGATGAAGTGCACGACCCGTATCCTGAACAAGGAGAAACTCTGCTTAAGGGCTGCTCTGGGATACAGACTTGTGTTGTATGGCTGAGGAAAACAGGACAGAGAAAGGAGAAGGTGTGCACTAAAATCCAGGGAAGCAAGGGAGGGAGAAATGTGGGCAGTGATAAGCCATCATCTTTGCACGTGGGAGGTGAAGGAATGTTCTGTGGAAAATAGAAAGCCTGGCACATCTGTGAACTGAGCTGGAAAATGGATGCTGGTGTGGAGAAGAGTGAGTACAGGAGGCTGGAAATCAGCTCAGCACCCACCTGGTGGTCACTGGGACATCCTGGTGGGCACTGGAGTTTTGCTGCCTGCTGTTGGGGTTTGTCAGGAGACACTGGTATTTCCAGAAGATGTGCTGCGGGGCACGGACTCCATAAAAGAGCTTTGTGTCCTCAATTTTCTGGTGAGGGGAAGAGAAGGGCTGTTAAAACAGAGCCAGAGGTGCAGGGAAGGGCCAGAGCTGGAAGGGCTAGGGTCTTTCTCCACTGGTTGAGCAAGTGGGTTATTTTCCAGCTCTGATGTGGTGAACAGTGCAATCGTTCAGGCCTCTCCCATTTCCTGGGATGCAGGAGCCCAAGCCAGGCCAAGTATCTGCTGCCTTTTCTTTTCCTCCTACAGCCCCTCACCTTGATGGTGAAGCCCTTCTTGCTCAGCTCATCCAGAAACTTCTTCCTCTTGATCTCCTTCTCACTGCCCATTTCGTGGATGTCACTCACCAGGACAAAATCCCATTTCTCTTCATTCTGCCCACAAAACCAGCAGGGAATTATTAGGGATGGAAAGTTGACAGCTCTCCTTCCCTGCTCCAGCCTCTCAGAGGTTTGGACTCTCACTGTGGCTCTGTAGAGGGGAACTGGGAATGAGCAAGGGAAATGGGGATTTTTCCCCTCTCTGAGCTGGGCTGGGCTCGCTGCAGATGCAGAAGGAGCAGAGCTTACCGGGGAGGCAAAGGGGTCCATGTCCTCAACAGCAGATTCTCTGCGGGGAGTCAGCAGAATTTCATCCTGGTGAAAAGAAAATCAGTGAAGAGAAGGCTGCAGCAGACTCCCTGGGAAATCCCGTGTTTTCCTCTTCCAGCAGCCTTGAAGAGATGCCCAGGGAGGAAAGTAAGAGGAGGCTTGTGTGAAACCTTCTCCCACATGCTTCTGATCACCAGTTTGGGGTCTTCCTAAACCAGCCAGGGATTTGTGTTTAGGAATGCTGCAGGGACTGCTACCCGGGGAGGGTGTGCAGCCTCCGGTAGAACTCATCATGCACAATGGTGCTCTGGGGCTGTGAGGGATCTGGATTAGGAGAAGAAAACCTCCCTCAGCTCTTTCACCTCATGCCCTGACATATGTGCTGGGGAGGTGTTCACCTTTCACCCTCTCTCTCTGCTACAGTGGATTTTACGGGCTTTAATCAGCCTTTTCCATTTGTCAGATGTTCCTATCAGATAGGGCACTGCTGGCTTTTTGGGGAGGGTGGGAAAGGTAGTTTAAATTCAGGTACAGGGAGAGTGGAGCACGGGCACTTGGAGGCTGGTACAACTCTGCCAGAAAGCAGGTGAATAAAGTTCTTGGAAAACGTGTTGGATGCCTCAGGCTGCAGCCAAGGGACAAAGAGGGGAGGATGAGCTGCTGATCATAAAATCATAGAATATCCCAAGTTGGAAGGGACTCACAAGGATATCCAGCTCCTGGCCCTGCACAGGACCACCCCAAGCATCCATGTGCCTAAGAGTGTTGTCCAAATACTGCTTGAGCTCTGGCTTTTCCGTGTTCTCCTCCTGTGTGTCAGTGGCTCTGGAGATGATGGCTGTGCAGCTCCCACCTTTTTGTTGACAGGTAATTACACTCAGACATCCAAGGGTGCAGATGTAGGGGAGCACAAAGCAAGCATCATGGAATGTTGCTTGGAATGTTGTATTGGAAAGGGCCTTCACACCCATCCAGTCTGTTCTTCATGCTCCAATCTGGTCTTGGACACTTCCAGGGATGGGGCAGCCACAGCTTCTCTGGGCAACCTGTGCCAGGGCCTCAGCACTCCCACAGGGACGAATTTCTTCACAGTATCCCATCTAACCCTGCTTTCTTTCAGCTTAAGCCATCAGCTGCCCCTGTGGGGTTTTTTCCCACCCTTTGATGTGACTTGTCATGTGTCCCCACAAACAGTTACACCGCTGTTCCCAAGGGAAGGTGATGCAGCTGTGGGAAGGAGCTGCCAGGGATGGGGATATTGTCACTCAGTGTCACCAGAGATACTGTGACCTAAAAGAGCTGCCAGCCAGACGAGTTCCTCCAGACGTAATCTTGGCAGCAGAGCCATGGTGGTGTAACTGTGCCCTGATGTAAGATCTGCATCCTGAGCTTTCACTGGAGAATGAGGCCATGGGAACAGAGGAGCCGAGATGAGGAAAGGGCTGAAATATTCTGCCAGATGCTTGCTCACAGGATCAGCCAAAGCACAAGAGCCATGAAGAGACTGACTGACAAGAAGGAGAAGTGGGAAGGCTTGAGAAGAGGGATGCTTTCCCCCAGAGTTGCTGCTGTAATAAGAACCAGAACTTCTCTTAGATAAAAGGCACCCCAGTTTATGACAAGAGGCAAAGGGAGGCTTCTGGTGTTGTCATCTGTTCTAACCAGGTTTGCAGGGCAGGACTGGGTGCAGCAGTTCCCTGTATCCCAGTCTGAGCCCCTCTCTGGGCACAAGGCAGGGAGTGGGAGCCTCTCAGGAATCTGCCCATTGCCAGTACTCCGATGCTGGCATGGATCTGGCCTGGCACACTCTCTGCTGTCATATTAGCTCATTCCTGCTTGGCTGGTTTCTCTCAGACTGCATGTGCACCAGCCTCATCCTGCAGCAATTCCCTGCCAGTGCCACCTGTGATCTTGTGGATGTATGTGGAGGGGAAGCCATCCTTTGGGTATGGGAACATTTTGGGGTGTTCCTAATGCCACCTTGGCACACTTTTTCTCCTGCTGCTGTCCCCGATAAAGCTTAAGATGAGGTGAAGGGACCTGCTGGTCCCTTCACCTCATCTTAACACCTTCTGTTCACAGGTAGCTCCCAACTCAAACACCTGCAGGCACGGTCCTGCTTGGGCATCTGAGCATCCCAGCCAGCACATCTGCTTCCTTGGGAAGAGGCTGAGAGGTTTCCAAGGTGGGCTCACAAATGGGGTGTTGGATTCATCCCAGTGGCTGCTGGGGCTCAGACTGCCATGCAGGTGCCCAGCTTGCTTTTGGGGCCATATGGTGTGTGCATAGAATCCCAGAATCCCAGAGTGGCTTGGGTGGAAGGGATTTTAAAGCCTGTCCAGTTCCACCTTCTGCTGTGGGTGTGGACACCTTCCACTGGCACAGGTTGCTCCAAGCCTTTCCAGTCTGGTGTTGGACACTTCCAGGGATGGGACAGCCACAGCTTCTCAGGACAAGCTATGCCAGGGCCTCACCACCCTCACAGGGAAGAATTTCTTCCCAATATCCCATCTAACCCTGCCCTCTGGCAGTTTGAAGCTATCCCCCTTGTCCTGCCCCTGCAGCTCTTGATGGGAAGGCAGGGATGTGTGGGCAGGGATGGCTTCAGCAGGCAGGGACTTTGGATCACTGCTACTCCCAAATGTTTTTTCCTGGGAATTAAGGACACTGTCTGACAGTGGCACCTGTGCTCTGGCCTCACAGGGCAGTGGGACCAGGTGCAGGTAAGGCCACCCAGACTCTGCAGTGGTTGTACAAACCCTGGGCTCTATCCCTGCTTTCAGGAAGGACAGTTTCAGTTTCACTCCTTCCTGCCCTGTGTTTGGAACAGGATGTGGAGGTGCAACTGTACAAAGGTGTAAAAATGACTGGCACAATGGGAAGCAGGGATTTCCATGCTGAAAAGAGTTTCCGTGCCTCCAAAGGGTATCATTGGTTCTTGTTCCCAGCCAGGTAACCCACTGCCCTGAGTGTTCCTTCTGGGAAATGGCTGCAGGCACCCTTGGGCTGGGTACAGAGTCACCCATGTGAGTAAGTCAGGACAAGGACGTGGATAGGATCTGGCATCCTTGTTTTCCTTTCCAGTCATGGATTGGTGTGGGGTTGGGTGTTTCCTGTCACCCACACTGAGATGATCAAATTGCTCTTATCTCCAGGATGTTTCTTACACAGCTTCCCTTGGAGCACTTCCACCTTAGCCCATGGCTTCCTGAGAAGTGGGACAGCCTTTGCTTGGACAGACAGACCTGTACCTTTACTACCTGCCCTAAATTTGGAGAGTTTGCCTGGCTTTTCCTAGGAAAAAAAACCCAAAAACCCGCATCTCTTCTTCCAAGTTAGAAAAGAAAAAGATCATAGCTCTCCCTCCACCCATACTGTATTCCAGGTGCTCCTGGAACACCTGGGGCTGTCACCTCTGCAGTGCTCATTCCTAGGTTTACATAAGCTCCATCCATACCATCCTTCTTTGATTTGTGCTCTGGCACCTCTGATCTCTGGGACCAACATGTGGGGCCAGTGTGACCCCACTGCACCTTGGGATGGTGCATGGGACCGGCAGCACATCCTGCTTTCCCTGTCACACACTTGTGGCAGGAATTTTGTACCTTAAAGGCTGAAAGCAGATGGGTGGTAGAGATTGGAGGTTAGTGTATCCTGTGTTTCCAAGCCACCGGTACTCAGGTGCTGAAAAGCAGCATCCTGGGAATGTCAGGGCAGTTTCTGTTCCTACCTGCATGGTGAAGCAGAGAGCCTTCCTCGGTGACCCTCTGTCCTGGAGCCCCTCAGGGCAGATCCCTCAGGAGAGGGCTGATGGGCAGGATGGGCTGGAGGCTCCTGGGCTCTCTCACGCTGTGGTTTTCCTTCCCAACTCCTTTGCCCGAGGTCTCAGAGGTCTCGTGAACCGAGCGGTGCCGTGGCTTCCGTGTGGCACTCGTGCCTGCTTTGGGAGGGAGCTGCCTCTGCCTGGCAGTGGGCAGATATCAGGAGGAGGCGAGGGAGCTGCCCTTCACCCTCGCCCAGAGGAGTGGCAAGCCCAGAACCGCCCAGCGCAGGTAACAGTGCCGAGTTCCTCCTGCCAGCTCCAGGGCGCTGCTTTCCCCTCTGCCCCTCGTGGTGCCAGGGCCGTGTGCTGTACCCTGTGACATCCCCAAGTGGTGCCATAAACTGGCCAAAAGGAGCTATTGACAGAAGTTTTGGAAAGCTCTAGAAATCTCCTCTTGACATCTCACTGGTTGGTAAAACAGCCGTGGGAGTCATGTGCTGTTTTCCCCCCATGTGTAATAGTGCCGTCAGCCTGACCTTGAACACTTCCACAGCTTCTCTGGGCAGCCTGTGCCAGGGCCTCACCACCCTCACAGAGAAGAATTTCTTCCCGATATCCCATCTAACCCTGCCCACTGGCAGTGGGAAGCCATTCTCCCTTATCCTGTCACTCTAGGCCCTTGTCCAAAGCCGCTCTCCAGATTCCTTGCAGGCTCTGTTCAGGTACTGGAAGGGGCAATCACGTTACCCCAAAACCTTCTCTTCTCCAGGCTGAAAAATCCTAACCCTCTCAGCCTTTCCTCATGGCAGAGCTGCTCCATTCCTCTGACCAACTTGGTGTCTCTCCTCTGGACTCTCTCCAGGTCGATGTCCTTCCTGTGCTGGAGACCCTGGAGCTGGATGCAGAAGTTCAGATAGGGTTTCACCTGAGCAGAGCAGAAGGAATCAACTCCAATCTGGATGTATGCCTTGGAACAGGGAATAACTCTTATAATAAAAAGTGAGTGAAAATGTTATGTGTAAGCCAGATCTTGCCTTACACTTGTTTCCTGGGGAGGTTGTGGGGGTGGAGTTTGCTGCTTTTATTTTCAAATAAGAAGAGCATTTCCTGGGAATAACAGAAGGGTCAATAACTGCTCTGGATTCCCTTGTGCCCTCCAACAGCATTCCTGTGGGCTGCTGTAAAAGAAACCAAGTCCTCAGGGTGGTAATCCAGCTGTGTCCTGCTAGGAAAGGCAGCCTGCATTTTCAGGGTGGTGCTCCCACTTAAGCCACCATCATCCTGTGGTTTTGCCAAGTGCCTTGAACAGGTGCCAAAACAGACCTGGTGATTATCAGGGGGGGAAAAAAAAAAAAAGAGTTGTCCTCCCAATGTCCTGCCGTGTGTGAAACCAAGGTATGGGCAGACCTTTAGCCTTCCAGGGGTGATCCAGGGGTGATCCATGGGCTTGGGAGCGGCAAACGGGCTTTATCTCTGGGAGAGTATGTGTGTTTACCCAGAGAGAGTGAAGCCCTGTCAGATGGTGCTTTCGACCGACAGCAGGGCAAAGGCCTTTGCAATGGGAGCGCTGCCGTTGTTCCAGGGAAATGGGGTTACCTGTGGGAGGAACAGCTGGGGCACACCTCCCACGCTCCTGCTTCTCCTTCCTGAGAAGGGCTTGGCTCTCCAGACAGCCCAGGAGGTCATGCACCCAGCAGCAGTTCCCACAGCCCGTGGATGTCACCAGCCAGCGGGGAAGGTGAGTCTGTGTCTGCAGGTTGGCTTTGCCTGAGGTATATCCAACCCCTGCAGCATCTTTCATGGCACTTGGAGGAGACCATGCTGCTGCTGCTGCTGCTCCTGTTTAGGAGGAATTTGGTTTTGCCTGGGAAGGATTTAGCTGCATTTGCAGCAAGGCAGGTGAGCAAGTTGATGTCCCTCTTGCAGTGATTCCCTCCCCTTCTGCATTAGCTGCTCTCAGGTGACTGGGGTTGAGGACAGCAGCAGGAAAAACTGAAACTGGGGAGGGAGCCACACGAGCCCTGTGTGAGCAGAGGAAGTTATTTTGGGTGTGATCAGCTCTGTGGCTGCTGGGTTGATCACACACCTGAACCCACTGGACTCCAGCTACTGTGGGCAGCGATTTGACCTGCACTGAGCTTTGGCAGGGAAGCTCCAGGAGCACTCCTGTTAGTCCTGGCTGGATGTGGAGATGGTAATTCCCACCTGAGGAGACTGCAGAAGGGTTTTGTGCGTGAAACCACTGTGTCTGGATACAGGCTGTCCACCTCCTGCCTGGCAGCAATGCTTTTGGACAGGGAGCTCCTCTTCCATGGGTGCAAAGGCACTGATTCAGGCGCTAAAATGGCAGCAGATGTCTGTGTCTTTTCATAAAGCTGGGGTTGTTTTCATCCCAATCTCGGTCTGTCTGGATCTGTGGGTATCCCCGGAGCTACAGTCAATATGTTAGAGCAGAGGATGAGGTTCGAGGTGAAGGCCTGCTTGTAATTAAAGTACTGGCTCCAAGCAGGGAAGGCTTAGACTGGATATTAGGAAAAGGTTCTTCACCCAGAGGGTGGTCGGGCACTGGAACAGATTCCCCAGGGAATGGTCACGGCCCCAAGGCTGCCGGAGCTCGGGGGGCGTTTGGCAACGCTCTCAGGCACAGGGTGGGATTGTTGGGGTGGCTGCACAGGGCAGGAGTTGGACTGGCTGATCCTTAGGGATCCTTTCCAACTCGGGATATTCTGTGATCTCTTGGAACAAGGTGGGTGCCTCCAGCTCTTATAAAGCATCGTGAGATGTGCAGGAGAGTGTTTTAGGCTGGAGAGGGGAATTGTGGAGCAGACAGAAACGTCCTTTATCGATGCCAGAACTGTGTTCCGCTGGGGTATGCCCGCTCCTCGCCCAGCCCGCTCCTGCCCTCCTGTGGCCAGCTCCGTTATTCCACAGAATCCGAGAATCCTGGGGTGGTTGGGATTGGAAGGGACCTTAAAGCTTGTCCAGTCGCACCCCCTGCCATGGGCCCTGACACCTTCCACTATCCCAGGTTGCTCCAAGCCTCGTCCAGCCTGGCGTTGGACACTTCCAGGGATGGGGCAGCCACAGCTTCTCTGGGCAACCTGTGCCAGCACCCTCACAGGGAAGGATTTCTTCACAATATTCCGTCTAACCCTGCTCCCTTTCAGTATTTCATAGAACCATGGAATAGCTTTGGGTGGGAAGGGACCTTTAAAGGTCATCTTGATTATTTGCTGTCCTATAAATATTTCCTCTAATTTCTTTCCCTGTTTCATTTCTCTGCTTCCACAGGACTTTGCCTTCGTTCCACAGAGTATTCCTGGAGCTTGCTGCCGTGCCAAGATCTTTCCAGAAAGCCGGAGCTCCCTGCCTGCCGTCCGGGATCAGCATGGCACATTCCGGATGAGGAGCCTGACCAAGGTAATTTGGGAAGCGCTGAGAAATTTTAGAATTCTTCAAATCCAAGGGCACAGGGGCACCCTGCAAGCACCCCCAGCCCTGGCCAGACCCTCCGGGTGGGAACATAAACTTTTGCCAGGCGAAAGTTTTTTAAAAAAAGGCTTTGTTATTTTGCCAGCAAACCGCACGTATTTAACAGATACTTAACATTTCATGGCACAAAGACGCGGGAATCGGGACAGCCACGGCATCAGGGATGGGGTACCCAGTGTGGGATACTCGAGAGCCGCACGGCAGCCTGGCAAGGGGCGCTTTTCCCCGCACGGTTCCGGTGGGAGCGTGCGGAATGAAGACATTTTTGTTGAATTACCGCACTCGGGTTGCCCTGAGGGCCGCGGGGTCCCGTCCCTGAGGGGAGGCGGTGGCTCCTCGGGGCGCCGCCTAGCGGGCACGCGCGGTTGCCACGGCAACGGGGGGGACGCCCCGCCCGGCCCCGCCTTCCCCGGGACCGGCCGGCCCGCGCACGCGCCGACGCGGGGTCGCGCGCCCGCCGCGTCACGCCTCCCGCCCCGCCTTCCCCGCCCGCCGCGGCCCCGGCCCGGGTCCCCCCCGGCGTGTCCCCTCCGCACGGCCGGTGCGTCCCCGCCGCCGGTTCCCCCCGCCGCCATGAGGCGCGGCGAGCGGCGGGCGCACGGCGGGAACGTGGGCAAGGCCGCGCTGGAGGAGCAGCAGCCGCCGGCGCCGCCGCCCCCCGCGCAGCCCAACGGCGGCGCACCCGGGGCCGAGCGGGACGGCGCCGGGCCCCGCCGCAGCACCGAGTCCGAGGTGTACGACGACGGCACCAACACGTTCTTCTGGTGAGAGGCGCCGGGCATGGCCCCCACACCCCTCGGGGCTCCGCGTGGGCCAGGGGGGCCCTAAGGAATGGGGTGTGGAGGGGCTGAGGAATGGGATGTGAGGGCCCCCTAAGGAGCGGGATATGGAGGGGGCCCCAGGGAACGGGATATCCGAGTTATCTGCTCCCCGTTATCTACTGTTTACGGGCCGCTTCTGTCGCCGATACCGGCGCTGGAATCGGCTGCAAGTGTTTTCCTGGTGTGGCCCTACCGCTAATTGTTTCCTGCCAATGTCACGGGAATTCAGGGCTGGCTTTTGGCGGTGGCGCCTCTTTTCCCAGCCCTGATCCCCGCCTTTCCAGGAGCAGGACCCTTAGGGCTGAGACGGCTTGTCCTGCCTGGTGTGGGTGCTTTGGAGGTGTTTTCCAGTACCTCGGGAGCTCACTGTGTTCGGGCAAGCATTCCTGCCCGATTCCAGTTATCAGCATTGTTTATATGGACTCCACCTCCTTCTCTCCTCTCCCTTAATCTTGGAAGAGGCTTCTTCAATCCATGTTCTTCCCAATGATCCTGGCAGAAAGCTGAAGTTGTCGTGCCCCACTCCTGCTGGGCAGGTGTTGTGTATTTTTATGTGTCTCAGTCGATAAAAAAGGTGCAGAAACCCACGGCTGTGTTTGGCCAGCGGAGAAAATCAGCTTTCTGTTAAATTCAGTCTTGTAGGAAGAGGTGTGTTTGTAC